TAAAAGTGGAAAGAAAAAGAAAAAAAAAAAGGTTTATACTGATAAAACAAACCCTTTTCTTGATTATTATCTAGTCCAACTACTTGCAACTGACTAATCATTTAATTTCCATTATTCTACTGTTAACCAAGAATATTTAAGAACACTTTCAAAAGAGTATTTCTTGAAACTTTATACTTAAAGACTTCTAATATTTAAAAAGAATTGGTATTGATTAACAATTTCTTTTACAGTTGATTCTTTAAAGATTTATGGTTTCATTCAATTGGGGAATAATTTCAAGATCACTTTTTTCAACTATTTTCAGGATAATCAACAATAGAACTAACTTATTATTGAATTAGAATAAGATTTTCCTTTAATCTTGAAGAGAAATAAGATAAATATTATTTATTTATTTAATTTATATAATAAAAATATATATTGTGAAAAAAATAACATCTTTCATATATAATAATACAACAAGTTAAATACTAGCTTGTCTACAATAATCACTAAACTAATATTGAAAAGAAATTTTAAAATAATATATCTTGTCAAAAGGTTTTAAGCAGTTATAATTATTTACTCAATATTGGATAGAAGGAAATTAAAATAATTTGTAATTAATTTGAAAATACATTTAGTAAAGTTAATTCATTTTGGATATACAGTATAAGTTAGCAACTATGATAGATATGTCTATAGTAGCTGATATTAATATAGAAGATTATTGTTTCATTTGATATCAGTAAAAGAAAAAGTATTTGTTGTGGCACAGTGGATATCCAGACTAATTTGTATAAGCAAGTTAAAATCTTGGTTAAAACTTCAATCCAATTGAAGAAGTTAGTTATAAAAAAAATGTTGTCAGTAATATTACATACCAGCTTTGTTAACTGCCAAACATATGTAATTGACTTATGATCACTATTAGGATGAAAATGCTATTGATAATATTGATAAGTTGGTTAATATCTTTTGATACTAATAGATATTTAAAGACATGTTAAATATTCTCAGTATGTAAACTATACTAGGAACAATATGGGTTAGAATTATACATGTGTTTGTATTTAATTTAAACATTTTTCAAAAACTATATTATGTTCGTATTACTAAGTAACAATTAGTAAATAATTGGGAATTGTATTTAATTCAGAATTGTATTATCAATCAAATTTTCTTTTATAATAATAAGAAAACATTTATAGTCAAAATATTGTTTTGGATATAATTTGTAAAGATTTTCTCTTGTAGAAAAAGTTTCTAAAAGCAATTTGATTCTAAAAGCAATAAAATTACTGTATTTGTAGACTCTGAAACTTTTTATTTTTTTGTTTGATTTGTTAATAATTTTAAGACCATAGGATTTGTAAGTGTATCCAAATGTTTTTAGGACTAAGAAACTTTTGCAAATTATATAGATCTTGATAATACTTAAAATTTTTTGTACCATTGATATTGCTGTCTAATTGTAAATTGTTGATTGGTGGACTTTAGAGAAGTAAAATGGCAGGTTGATCCATTAAAAAGTGTTATCAAATCTTGGATTGGATTTGGGTTTGGTATATATAAGTTGAATTAATTTGTTTTATATTAGTTTGTTAATTTTCAATATTATCAGAACAAAGTTTATTTTTGTCATTCTTTTTAAATAGTTGAAAACTTCTTGAAGAATTTTTTTGTTATTTCTTATTTTTATAATACAGTTTGATAAATATCAATATAAAATATTCATTATTATATAGAGAAAATCTTCTAAGAAATGTTTTGAATTGGCTATAACAATTTTTATATTGTTTATAAAGATCTTGTTCTAGTGAAGTTAAAATAGTACTGTTTCAATTTTTTGAAATGCTAATATGAGAAGAGAAATAGAAATTGTCAATGAATTGAAAAATGTCTTCTCTTTGTTATAATGTGATAGACAGTTCACTAATTATATTGTATAATTGATATTTGTTTAAGCTGTTAGGTTTGAGACTATTTATAATAAAGATACTGTAGGACTTATAAATGACAATATGTAAAAGCCAGCAGAGTATTATTCTAGTGAATAGCCATTACACCTGAACAAAATGTGATTTGAATCAATAAAATAGTATTTTCTTTTAAGATTTGTTTTTTTGTTTATACTGTGGCTTTTCTTATTTTTTTTTTTTAACTCTTGCTGTCAACTCAGGTACCTTTATATCACCTTTCTAGTCTCCCGATGTTTCTCCAGGGTACAGGAGGTGATTATGACGGTTCTAAATACTTGTCTTAGGCCTAAGCCTCTAAGTATAGATGGTGGGGATGAAGAGTTGCTATATTCAAGGCAAGTAGACCTTTGCTATCTGCCAGGATAATCATTGCCTGCAGCCATCACTATAGTTTTTCAACCATTCAGTTTAGTCAAGACTTACTAGGATTTAGTCAGTGAGATATCATTGGAGGATGAGGGTACACCAGTACACCAAATACACCTGGGAATCAGATCCAGTCTCACCCTGCCTAATCTGACCTAGCAACATATGCGGGGGGTTATAATTTATGGGGGCATGCAGTCAACCATTGCAAGTATACTCCTTAGGATAGAATATTCCATGATACAAGCAACCTCCTACAATCCCGACCGGATCCTTACTACCAACGGACATGTGAAACTCTTACTGATAGTTGTGTGACTAATAGTTTTAGCCATCTGTACCTTTCTTTCTGCTACCAAAAAGATTTCATGAAACTTCTTCCCCCTTTTGGAGATATTTTCCGGGCAATACTTGATAAGAAAGTTTACCAATCAAATCATCTATCTTTTTGACCTATGGAGTGTAGTCTATCCATATGGCTTCTTGATTGCCGGAGCAACCCAAATAGCTCTCTATCACGAGTTACAGGGGCAGTGACACAAAGTTCCAATTTGGGATATGTGAATTGTCTCCAGCTGGGGTTGAACCGTGGTTCATAGATTAGCCCTATCCTGCCTTAGCCCTCTGAGCTATGACTGGGTAGGTCTTTTTATACTGTGGCTTTTCTTATATATTTTGATGATATAGTTAAAGTTATGTAAATATCAGAATAATAATTTAGAATTTGATACTGAACCATAAGTTTCAAAAAGATTATTTGAATTATTGAAATCTTTAAACCAATTGGACTTGGGTCTATAATATACTATTTCTGTATGTAATATAAGTTAAAGTTATAAAAACTTTTTTGTATTGTTACATTTTAAAAGTTGATTACTAAATTTGATATTTAAAGTATTTGCTATATTAATTATTATAGTTTTGTTAAGGAATTATAGGTTTTTGAATAAAAGGTCAATAGAGTTTTCAGCACTGTTAAAATATGTTGAGCAGTTAGTTAAACAGATTTGAATTTTAAGATTTTTATAACCTTGACTATATATGTAATTCAATTATCTTAACTGAATTTCTCTGGATTGCAGATTAAGCAGAGCCAGATTAATTTATTTTTTTAGATTGATCACAGATCTTAGAGGATATATTTTTCAATTGCTAATATAAAGAGTTTGAATATTAGGTTGTCAACCAATAAGGACCTCTGTTTTTTTTTAAGAAAAATTATATTGAGATTGTTATGGTTGATAAGAATTGCATTTGAGCATTTGGATATAATTTTATAAGCTGATTTGATAAGTTTGTTGATTTTGAATTGAAGTGTATTAAGAGTAAACTTGTTAAAATATAATAGAAAGATGAAATATTCAAACTTGTTCATAATAACCCAGTTATGGATCTGTTGTTTGATCTCACTTTTCCAGTTATGTTTAGAGAGTTCTTTCAGAATTATATCTATAGTTTGGTTGAGAATCTTTTTATTGAACTTAAATAGACTTCTAGAGAAAATGGGTACTTTCAAATATTTAATACTTTTATAAGATTTGAGTACTTGGATTATATAGTTATCAAATTTGATTGAACTATTGAGACCATATTTGATCTTGATGTTAGAAATTATTTTAATTTTGTTTTTGTTACAAGTAATACTATTAATTGTAAAAAATTAATTAGTTATTAAAAAAAGATTTTCCATTAACTGTTTGCTATCAATAATAAAAATTGGGTCATTTATATATACTAAGGCATTGGAAGTGATATGGCTTCAGATGGGCTTGTAATTGACTAATTTGAATATAAAAGAGTCATAAAATATTATATCAAAATTATTGCATAGGAAAAATTTTATATAAAAAAAAAACTTTTTTATTTATTTTAAAAAAATTATAAATATAAAATTTTATATTAATAATTTATAAAAACATAAATTTAAAATTATTGAATTCTTTAAAAATAATTTTTATTTTTAGTATAATAATAATTTAAAACATTTATTAATAAAATTTTTTTTAAAAATTATAGATTGGCCTTTTAATAATCCATACTTAAATTTATGGAAAACCCTTAAGCTATTGTTAAAAAAATATAGAATTAAAATTATCTAATAATATTTTGGAATTAGAATAATTTATAATAGAAGAATAGAATAAAATTTCAAATAAGGTTTTGAATAAATTTATAGATTTAATGAAAGAGAGATGTAAAATGATAATTAAAAAGAAATGTAAAAGAATAATTTAAAAAAAATGTGAAAGAATAAACATTAAATTTATATTAGTAAAATCTCTGTATTTTTAATTGTATTTTGATATATTTTTTATTAATTTCTATGCAGTAATTTTTAAATGAGTGGATAAAAATTTCAAAAAATTTTGTTATGCACTATATATCATAGGTATCAAATATATTATATAACATGTCATTAATATAAACGAAATCGATACTAGGGCTATTAGGGACAAGGTAAGTTGATATTATACATTAATAATATGTATACCCATATAGCATTTGCTTGATAGGTGTATACTAAATAATATTTATTCGATAGCATATATACAGTATATAATATTTATTCGTAAACCATAATCAAGAATCCTATCTTCTTTAATAATGCGTTATAAATAGAATATATCATTATTTCTTAGTTGACGAGCAATACTCGTTCTTTTAGTTTGATTAATCTGCGACTTCGCCACTTTTCAAAGGAACTTTAGTTTTATATGCCATTGCGTCGGCCAATTTTCTTGCATCACCAATATCAGTTATATCGAATCTTCTTATATCTCCAGTAACACCCATAACATTAGTAGAAAAACGGAGTTCTACATTGAAAGAAACCATGGTTATAGAAAAAAGTCAGAAAATTAAAGGAAATGTATACTTAATTACGCAGACAGGAAGTTTTTCCAATTGGACATCAATAAACTGACGAAAATCGGCCATGATCATATAATATGTCACATGTGACCTGAACGCGATACAAATGTAACCTATATAGCACCCGGTATATAGACTCATCTCTGACGAGGCAAATGCAAAATGCCCGTTATTCAGTAGAAAATAGTTTTAATAATATTATAGGAAGAAAGAAGTATTAAAAAAATTATAAAGAAAAATCATTATAAGCCTTTTTTTTTAATATAGTTAACCCTACTCTTAAACTTACTGCTTGATCAAAAATCATATTTCAATGCAATAATAAATGCTAAACTCTTTATACTAATCATTGCTTTGATATACATGTATGTCTATTAATATTTTTATTATAAGAATTCGGATGAACAATTGGTTGAGTTTTACTTATAGGCGCTAATTGAGTTTTTTGATAAAGATGATATTTATAATTGGCCATGGCTAGTAAAGGTTATTAGTCAGGTGTTTAGACTTGATATATAGATTGTTTTTTGTGAATGTTTGAAAATTTGTTATCGAAGGAACTGCAATGGCTGGAGCCCTCGGTTTGTCACGAATATGATAATGAACAAGAACCGAGAGAGCTTTGTAGTCACAGTTACATGCAACTACGAATGTTCTTTTTTTGTTCTTAACAATAAAGAAACAAAAACTTGGTTTATTTTGATATTTAAATCTTGACTAAGGAGGGAGGTGATGCACAATGTGTGTTGCTGTTATTTTATTTTTCAGAAATGAGTCGGTTCGGGTTTGACCCGATGTTTGGGTCGGGTTGATCATCAACTCAAACCCGACCCGGGTTATATGTTATTGGTTATTAGAAGTGTTATTATCACGTGGGTAATTTTGTCGTTAGATATTAAATATCTTTACTTTATTTTGTAAGCTAGTTAACTTTTGAGACGACTTTAATCTGGTGGTTCTAAATACTTGCTAACTTTCAACCAAGTTTTTTTTCGAAAATATTTAGAAATCACTAGCTCCGATTTTTCTATTAGTCGCATTAACGAAATTGTAAGCATATTGAATAATCAAGCAACGCGATGAGACCATTAGAATTGTAAGAATACAACGAATGGTCTTTCTCTCTTCATATTGGTACAAACTTATACTTTGCTAATTTTAATCTCGTCCTACAAGCAAATCAATCAGAATTACCGTGTCCGAGATCATGAGCCTTCTGGTGAGCCAGAATCGTTGAGAAAAAGAGGCAAAGAAAAGAGTTAGATTACCCTTCTTTTCTTTCGAGTTCTAATGTATTGGCGGTTACCGAGTATTATGATAGGTTATCTTACAGACCACGGACAAAAGTTTCAATTTACAAAAATGTACAGTGCATTGTGTGTAAAATTAGAATAATTTGATGCTTTGAACATACAGTAAATAACATATGTTCCAAATATAAAAAAAATAATACAACAATGTTCAAAATATGATAGAACGTACCACTGTATATAGTAGATTTGGATCATCTCATGTTTTAAAAAACGTGGTTTAATGAAAAAGGTAAATCTATAACAAAGAATACACGGGTAATGACTGAATAGCAGAAATTTTGTATTTATTTATTTATTTATCCAAACCAAACAGAGATTTCTTTATTAAAAAAAAAACGTGTCGAACGGGGTACATAAATTGTCGAATTGAATTCCTTCGATCATCGATGTCTCGAGATAAAGGAAATAAATCATCGGGTGACGTCGTTTTAATTCCATCAAAAAAGCACATGTTTGAGAATAAAAAATCATCGTAAGGAACGACTTATTTGTTTATATAAACATAGGAAATTACAACTGTTTATGGCAACCGTTCGACAGCATTTACCATTTATCGGTTTAGATTGGAAAAGGGATTAAATTAGGAAGTAAAACTGTAATAGTATGTGAACCTTTTGGGAGGTAGGGATTTGATTAATTAATTTTCGCGTACCCATTGTTTACTAATTTGGCATAATGGCACAAGTCATTTTTATACCTTTTATGGCATAATGTTTATTGTTTTTCGACTTCTTTACTATGCGTCCAATGTTGGACATCGTTCATCTACCTATCGGTTGTTGAATTAATGATCACGGAAAAGATTCAAAGCAACGAGAAAAATTATTAGTATGTCCACTCCCATTGGCAAACCTCTTTTTTATCTTCCTGCTCTCGCTATTTCCTTGAATAAAGAAAAGACAAAATACGCCCACATCTAATATCTTCATATACTGTATATACTGTATAATACATAAAACCAGCGAGGGAGTTTCATGTTGTTGTAAGTGTTTATACACACCACGCAGAACAGCAATATTGCATGAATAATACACACTAATTAAAAACACTCATGCAGTCTCCGCGTACCATATATACAGTATAACATTGACCTCTGGATTTATGTCGTGGTAATTGATGTGAAAATGTTTTTTTAATTCATGTGTATGCATTTAATTAGAGTTGTATCCTCAAAATCTTATCTCAAAAAATTCCGAATCGTTTGTCGATGAAACCATAAACATTCCGTTCATTCTACCTGGATCCTAGATCGCACAATAACAATTCCTCGGTCAAATCTAATATTTTTTCAAGACGTGATGTGGATTCTTTGGCGACCCCACCGTCGCAACGTTCTACAGTTAATTTCACCTGCGCATGATAGCACCAGATGATTTGATCTAATGGTTTTCCTGTCAGCTTATCGTTATCAGTAAATCCCCTTCTGTATTACTCACATGGCAAAGGCCCAATATTAAGGAAAACGGTCACTTAACATAACATAACATACAGTAGATAACATGGTGAGATGAATGTGTGACCAAATGAGGTAATGCATTAATTGTTTGTAATACGCACGCTGTTTGTGCGTGGACGTACAGATAGATAATACGAAATTTCTTTGCATACAAAAATTTTGGAAAGAAGGCGACGTTTCTTCACCATCATCGTGCGTCGTATGTTTGGTTCCGAAAGTGCCGAATCATCAGATCTCACCACTCGACCCGATAGTTCGTACATAGATCGCAGTGTTCGTGTAACGATGTTGGGTGAGGAGGCAAACCCTTCCTTCTATCTATGACATTTGCATTGAGTGACGATAAAATGGTTCTTTTTCTTAAATTCGAAATGACATGGCACACAATGCATTGTGCCAATGATTCCTAGCGCCCTTGACTTACATAGAGCGAGCAGCTTCTTATTGTTATTCATAGGATCATCTTTTGAGACATGCATAAGGGAGACAAAGGCTTCAGATCGAAGATAAAGTTGTATCTGGCGTTATGAGAACTCGGAGAATTAAGCCATATCCAAGTGGATTTTCCCTTTATAGTGTCTGATATGGACATGATAATCTTTATTTTAAATCGTGATTTCATATAAAGTAAATTTAGAAAGCAAGGGACTTCCAAAACCGTTTAGGGAATTTATCGAGGGTTCGATTGGCGTTAGGTGGTACCAAGCCAAAATCACAGCCAGTTTGTATATTTTCCTGTTAATTTTCCTGTTAACGAACAGGTTTTTTTTTTTAAAAAAAATTTTTTTATTTTTATTATTGAAAATAAAGATAAGAAAATTGCCTTTCCTGTATGAAAGAGAACTTTAAACGTAAAAAAACTTTAAACCTGATAAAGCACGAATCGCTGTATGTTTGATTACATAATCTCATGCACAGAACATGTCGTATGATGCCTGCCTACGCATCATCTTTCGTTCAAAAGATCCCGGAGAAATCGTTCATCTCTCAACGTTCACTTTGTCGGCAGATGGATCAAATTAATTCCACTTGGGAAGCATTCAGCAGACGGATCTCCGAGGGAGGAGCGCCAATGCGACAAGATCCTCCGGACACACCTGATCTCGAAAATACGGACACCACCAGATCATCTCGAAAATACAAATGCGATGATACCGTGACCTCGTCGAGCATTCGTCTCTCATTTTACCTTGACGACTTGTCAATCTTTAAGACTTCTGCATTCGTTTCTGGAAAATAAGCGAATAAACGTGGGAATGATTTTCAAACTTTGTTTTGGGGATTGAGGTTACCCAAACATTCCTGTCGTGCAGAGTTGGGCGAAATCAGTTCTATCTTATCAATGATCAAGGCAAAAAAATTTGCTCTTTTTGGTAATTTCTTCTTTATCTCCATGAGTTGTATGACTTGAGCGTCCATATTTATGAGGTTATGCAGAAAAGTTTAATTATGTATACCTTTTTCAAAATAGAAAAACCTGTCGTTATTAATACAGTATCAATATTTGATGGTCATCTCATCAGGCACGGAGAATACCGATGCAACTGCAGAAAAATCCAAATGCAGTATGTGTGGTTCTCATGCATGAAATGCGAACTTTGAGACGCGCTTCGATTCTCGTCTGTCGGAATGATCAACAGTTTACTTCGAACGTCTAACCAAACAAAAATTTACCCACTCGCATCTATTTGTCATAAGCGCAATTTATTGTAGGGGGTTCCACGCATAAGGGATTTTTCTAATTTGGAATTTCTTATGAAAATTAGCAAGCGAACCTATTGTTTCATTGATCTTGATTAGATAAAAGCGGTTTCTGTTGTTATGGATGTCGGTTTATTAATTTCCCCCGGTAAATATTATGGCAGATTGTGGTTAATGAATCTTGTCACGATCCAAAAATGCCCTTTGCCTCTGGGTATTATTCCGATGTTAATATTCCAAAATAATAAAATAACATAAAATAAAACAAATTGCCAATAATAATTTCTGCATTAATCACGATCTGATCTACTAATTTGATGTGTTCGAAAGAGAACCACTAAAATCCGCAAAATTCTGGAAAACAAGAGAACACGCACCCATATTACAATTAGGGTAGTATTCTAGTCTTTGTTCCTGCCACGTGCGTTACTCTCCAAATTCCATCGATGATCTGTAATTCACGTCCACTCGACTTAGGCAAACCGTTTTTTTTTATTTTTCTTGATGTGAATGCTTCCCTCGTGCCCACCATTCAATGTCCATTCGTAAAGAAAGATTTCACAATCATTAAATTCGTCGGAAATTGTTTCGTCGCCAAATCTTCCTCTGGTCGAGTGAACTTTTTAACGTGATGCAAAGTCTGGGAATACATGCATGCTGGCAACTTGAATATCGGTCATACCGTGTTCAGGGTTTTAACAGCCCATTCATTTAAAGTGTGAATTAATTATTTTAATTTTCAAAAACATTGGGGATTAATTAAATGTTTACTTTTAAAAAATCCTACTGTATCTACTTGGAACCAATTACAACATCCGTCGTGAAAGATAAGGGTGTGTATTACAAACAACACAAATACAACTTTCTTATCTATTGTCAAATTCGATATAGGAAACGACTCACGTTTTCAATGTTTTCTATTATTTGTGTTCATAAATCGTTTGGTAATCAATTATTACATCGGAAACAAACGGGGACACATGGGAGATAGATAATGTCAATATCCAAAAATGATTAGGTCATACCAAATTATTAGTATGGTGTGACGTATTGCACGTCTCACGCGTGGGATGAATGTATTAATGTATTATTATTATTATTATTATTATTATTATATTGCCGTTGAATTATTTCGCGAGAATTCTGTCGGAGACTGAATGTGGTGAAACTCCATCCGAGAATTCCATTATATCTCACACGTAGTAAAAATTTCGGATTTCTGTAATGCTATACTAAACATATTGCACGCATACCTACGTACAGTATGTTAGATGATCATGTAATCACTCTATTTCAGGTCACGTGGAGATCTTTCCATATTCTTCGAATCAATTGGTTTCACAATTGTTCGCACTGACTATTTCGTCACTGATAAGATGGAATTGAGTTTTGATGTTTGAAAATTCTTTTCCGTCAACTTATCGCAAACCCAATCATTTCAATCATTTCATCCATTCGAAAGATATTGATAACGGAGTGCACGCTAAACTGCTTACATATTAGTACAATGGGAATAATCCATTAATGATTCCCTTTCTACATGTTGTATCGTTACACACGACCAATGTCAAATATCTTTTATCCTATCAATAGATTGGCATTGCCGATATCTCGTAATTTTTCAAATTGGGCATATCGATGTCCATGTAACGTGATGTATTGCAACTTTAATTGATCGCGAACAAAGAAAAAAGCTTTTCTCGCTCGTCATCTCACGGACGGAGATGGCTCTTCTTCCACGATAAGCGTTATCAGGAGACCTGAGATACTCGTTTACTGCACACACAGTATGTACGTACGTTTTTGAATTAATGCCTTACCTGTCGTCAGCAAGTTCGTAATTACTTTTTTTTTTTTTTTTTTTTTTTATACTGTATTAAACTGATTGCCAAATCCGAAATATCGGTTTACGTTCATCAACCTCTTATTCATTATTTTATTTATATTATTATTATTATTATTATTATAACTCGATGTTATTATTATTTTCTTTTTATATATACTCGACGTTATTTTTATTTTATTTTATTTTTTATACTCGATCGATTAAATTGATTAACATCGGTATATACAGTATATCTAATTTTTTTTTTTTTTTATTTATTGAGTAAAACCAATTAATTCACGAATGCATATTCGCATATACAGTATAAAAGTGACCTCCGCTATTTGCAACCACCTTCGTAACTCCAACAACAGTCATTACGTAAATAGTTTTGGTTATTTTATTTTATTTTATTTTATTATTATTATTTTTTTTTTTTTGTTTATTTTACTTTCATCTCGTGTGTCTGTTCCTGTGCGTGTGTATGCACTTGTGTACATATTTACCATTTGTCCTTCCTCAGTTCACTGATCGATAATTTTAAATGCATTGAAAAAAATTTTTTTTGTATATAAACCTCCTGAATCTGACCCACTCTGTTCTATCCGCACCACGTCAACAGAATTCGTGGATACGATCTATTTATTGATTCCTGAATAAAATCAAAGAGTCTTTTACACAAAAGTTAAATTATTAATCTTCCTTCATTAGCAACACTATTCTCACTCGCCTCATAAAGGGTATCTTTCATATCTCTCGCACTTTTTTTTCCTTGGTTCCATCTTTCGTTCCCTCACTAACTTTCTTCTTCACAACTTATCCCTCCTAGCTTTAAATCATAATGTCTTCCAATGACACATGGGCCGCTGCTGACGCAACAGCAAATGGTGATACCGCATGGCTTTTGGCCTCTACGGCCTTGGTGTGGCTCATGATTCCCGGCGTCGGTTATTTTTACAGTGGTATGGCCAGAAGCAAGAATGCCCTATCGCTTATCATGCTTAGTGTTATGTCGGTTGCCGTTGTATCATTTCAGGTACTGTAATTCTTCAAATTCCACTTTACAAGACCATCATCGAAAAAAACTTATTTACACCAATCTTTGAATTTCAGTGGTGGTTATGGGGATTCAGTCTAACGTTTGGTCCGTCCGCTAATCACGGTGGTTTCATTGGTAACTTGGAATATGCCTTCTTTCGAGGTGTCAACAGCACTTCTAGTAATAAGGCCGACCCAGTAGTAGCCGCAACCGATGCCCCTATCGTCGCTTTCGCTATCTACCAGTGCATGTTCGCCGCCATTACTCCAGCCCTGGCAATTGGATCTGCTGCCGAACGTGGTCGTATCGGACCTGCTATCTTATTCATTTTCATCTGGTCAACTATCGTCTACGATCCAATCGCCTGCTGGGCATGGAACACGGATGGTTGGTCCAATAAATTGGGAGGTCTTGATTTTGCCGGTGGCACTCCCGTCCATATCGCCTCTGGTGCTGCAGCTCTTGCTTACTGTATCGTCATCGGAAAACGTCATGGTCATGGAATTGACGAATTCAAGCCACATAATGTTGCCAACACTGTGCTCGGAACGGCTCTCCTCTGGTTTGGTTGGTTTGGCTTCAACGGCGGTTCGGCATTAGCGGCCAACAGCCGTGCGGCCTTGGCCTGTGTCGTAACTAATTTGGCTGCATCCGTTGGTGGAATCACCTGGGTTTTGCTTGATTTCAGATTGGAAAGAAAATGGTCGACTCTTGGTTTCTGTTCCGGTGCCGTTGCTGGTTTGGTGGCCATTACCCCTGGTTCGGGTTTCGTTGGTGCTCCTGCAGCTGTCGCTATTGGAGTCCTAGGTGCTGCATGCTGTAATCTTGCTGTCAAATTGAAGCACATCTTTGACTTCGACGATGCTTTGGATGTGTTTGCCGTTCATGGTGTTGGAGGACTCATTGGTAACATTCTTACCGGAATTTTCGCCCAACAATCGGTCGCCAGCGCTGACGGTACAGCTATCAACGGAGGTTGGATAGATGGAAACTGGAGACAACTTGGCCTCCAACTTGCCGACTCTGCAGCCGGAATGTCATACTCCTTCGTCGTCACAATCATTATTCTTGTTATCATGGATAAAATTCCAGGACTTTCTATTCGTGCGGATCGAGAAGCTGAGCTCAAGGGTCTTGATGAATCGGAATTGGGTGAATTGGCCTATTATCACGTTGACCGACTCGTTGCCATCAACACCAGGACAGGTGACACGAAGATCGTCAAAGAAGAAACAATTCACCAGCAAAATGACACAAATGTTACGATAGTGTAGACCAAAAAAAAAAAAAAATTTTTTTATTTTTTTTTCTTCCTTCTTACATCACTTACTTTCATCACATTTTCTTCAATTGCATGTATTCTTACACATATATAAACTTTGTTTATTATATGTCACAATTTTTAAATAGATGTTATCTTATTTTGGGATGTATAATAGTTACCTTTCCCGACATTTAATTATGGTTGTTTTTTTTTTTTTTTTAATTTCATCATGAACCGTCCCCAAAGAAAAAACATGAACAATTCTAGTCAATTTTTTGTTAAATCAACAAAAAAAGTTAAGATACTGTAGGCACAGGATTTTGATTTATTTTGTATTATTTTTCTTTTCTCCTAGCACGAATAAAAAAATATATATTTTCGCAATTTTCAAACGGATCTTTCGTGTGTCCACCGTGTAAAACGTGTAAAACTACCAAAAACGAACAATTCAAAAAATAGGGACGCGTCGGTACTTGCGCATGTGAGTTTTTTAACCATGACCCGATTTTTAATTATACCGGATATAACAATAATAAATAAATAAATAAATAAATAAATGGTTTTGATATCAGTTTTTTTACGGAATCTTTAAATAATAATTAAGAGAATCGCCATTCCAAGATTTTTTCAGACAACCAAGAAAAAAAATTTTTTGATTTTTTTAAGGTTTCACGGTCGAAAAAAAATTTTTTTTCGCAAATGTTACATCCCTACTATTCTTTTTTTTCTTACTGTCAATCTTTTTTTAGAAGCAAAGTTTTATCACCAAAATCAAGTTCTTTAAATTAACCATTCAGAACTATAAGATACAATGACTATCATAACGATGCGATGAAATCATTTCGGTTGTGAAATCTTATTGCGTAAGATCACTGCCGATTCAAGAAAATTTGTTAGATTAAAAATTAATTATCATATGGCGCTATATGACGCCGATTAAAGTACCGGGAGAATGCACAACTTCTGCTTTTACCAGAATTGGTAAGGGCTACCATACGATCCACGGGAGGATACTTTTTAGTCAACGTTACACGATATTTAAGTTTCTTGTATTATTTCTAGGATTGTTACTAGATTAAATTAGATAATGCACAACGTCTAAAACGAAGCATTAAATTTTAATTCAATATATTTTTTAGATACAGTACCATATATACGGCATTTAGTGTTTTTAATTAAATTTTAAACTGATAATTTCAAAATTAACTATATAATTAAAAATATTATAATCATATTGCGAATTCATTTTAATTAATTTAAAATGCTTTTCTTTTATGTAGAAATCGTCGGACATTTAAAAAATTCGGAAATGATCACTTTTCTGCTCGCTATCTCCCTTTAATCCCTACGCTTTTTTTTGGACAATAAATAGATAAGCTTTTTTATTAATTTGAGCGATCCTCTAATATGCAGTATCAAATAAAAAAAATCAAATTCGATTTTCCATAGAAACATTTTTTATATAGATTGAACGGTTTCGAGATATAAAATATTTAATAGATTTTTAGTTAATGAGATCGTATGAAAAATAAAACTCTTGATTGCATTGTTAATTGTAAGTTGTTTGAGTTTCGCATTAAATTTAAAATACGAAATTGTCTTTACAAAAAAAAAACTTTTTAATCAAAAAAAATATCTCTATTTCCAAAATCAAATTTTAAATCATCAAATAAATCTGTTCCCATTACTTACAATCGAATGTAAAATGTTTAATTTTAATTATATTACACTTGTATAAATCAAACCTATCTGAAAACCTTATTAAAAAAATCATTGTATAAAATAAATTAATATATTGTTATTGTTTATTTGGATAAAGAATACATAATTAGAAATTGAAGTCTTTTTTTTTCCAATAGATAAACATTATTTTTTTATTTGAGTTGTATATTTAAAATGTATATATCATAAAAGAAACAACATCTCTTATATGCAATGACAGCAAGTTAAATACTAGCTTGCATATATAATCTATATCTAACTAATATTGAAAATAAATTTTAAAACAATATTGTATATGTTAAATATAGCTGAATAGTGACTATTTCTATTTATTCAAAATTTTGAATAAAAATAAAATAATTATATGTAAATAAAAAATTGAGAAAAAGCAAAAAGAAAATAAAAAGAAAAAATTGTATTAAACAAGTATAAAATGTAATGAAAACTAATAATAAAATAAAAAAAAATCTACTGAATATACTATTCTAATAGTTTCACTGCTATAAAATTTATATTAATGTACTTTCTAAATTATTAAAGAAGATCTATATAAAAACAACTATTATAAATCTTTTTTTATATAATTAATTAAAAAAAAAGCAAAACTTTCAAACTTGTTTTTTTCTAATTAAATGTTTTATTTTAATCTTATATTTTAACAATATTAGTATTTAAAGATAAACTATAAACTCTTAAAATTTTGATAATATTATATTAGCTGAAATTCCTAATGAATATAATCAACTCAAATTATTTGAAACAATTAATAGAAATATGATTTATAAATTTTAAAAATTATTAATCTATCTTTTTTTTTTTTTTTTTTTTTTTTATTTTTTTTATCGTAAAAGGGCATTAGATGCAAAATTTATTAAGTATATAGATTGATACACAAATTACATCAAACATCTTTGCACA